TACAGACTGAATAACACTGCATAATATAGCTTACTGAGAGAGAGAGAAAGAGAGAGAGAGAGAGAGAAGGGTGGGAGACTGAGACAAGGCGGCAGGGAAGATAGCTGAGAGCGGTAGAAGAAGGAGACTGAGCGAGGGACAGGGACGGGAAATGGTAGGACGAGAGGGGGTGAATTGGAGTTTTGCACCCTATACAGGCTAGGGCGCTCTGCCAATCATAAGCACAGATCTACTGATAACAATTTATTATATAAATCTATGCTGAGATACCCCGTAACCACATTAAATGCAAAATCGTCACAAAATATAACTGCTCTGCGTGCAGATAATGCGTGCATGCCCGCTAACACACTAACATAGCCAGATGGTGTACTGACTGTATATGCAGCGGACACGATTACAATTGCAATCGTCTTCTTCTTCTTTCTTATAAATGACATCTACTGCCATAAAATTTTGATATATGAAAAATCTATGCTTAGAATACCTGTTCTCATTTTAAATGCATAATTTAAAAAACATAATATTCGTCTCGCGATCGATCATTGCCGCCATGCCTGCGAGCATCGATTTAGGCGTTTAGTACAGACTGAATAACACTGCATCATTAATATAGCTTTTCTGAGGAGAAAAAGGGGCGGCGCCAGGACGCCAGGGCCCAATGCGGCCCAGCGGAGATAGGCTGACGGGGGGGGGGGGGGGGGGGGAGGTGGATGGGGGCGGGGGCGGGGGGGGGGGGGGGGGGGGGGGGGGGGGGGGGGGGGGGGGGGGGGGCGGGGGGGGCGGGGCGGGGGCGGGGCGGGGGCGGGGCGAGGGCGGGAGCAATCGAGACGCCGTGCGAGCAAGGAGGCTGAGCCCGAGAACAGGGGATGGCAAAGGGTAGACACACTCTCTCCCTCCGGGAGCGGGGTAAAGTTTGCCGCAGTTTTTTACCAGCGCGGCCCTTACGGCGCCTCTGCCAATCATAAGCCGCAGGCTCTACTGATTAAAAAATTTATTACAGAAATCTATGCTTGAGATACCCCGTAACCATATTAAATGCATAATCGTCACAAAATTATAACTCCTCTGGCTAAGCATAATTGCGCCATGCGCCTAACACACCAACATAGCCACATTGTGTACTGTACTGTTATTGCCAGCAGCGCCACCTTACATGCAATGATCTCTCTTCTTATTTTGCTTTAAATGAGCGTCTACTGATAGAATGCTTATTATTTAAATCTATGCTTAGAATAGCCTCTTGCTCCATTTTTAAATGCCATAATTTTTGCCTCAACAATAAATCATTGCCTATTCCGCCTGGAGCATATTGCGCATGCGCGCAGCATCGTATTTAGGCGTTTAGAACGGAGCTGAAGAACACTGCATCATAATATAGCTCTGCTGAGAGAGAAGCGGGGGCAGACTGAGGCCAATAGCGCCCGGCAGGCCGCAAGATAGCTGCAGATGCCGCTAAGAAGCAAAGAGAGGGCGGGCTGGCAGCGAGCGCGACACGCGGAGGCAACGGCATAGGACGGCATGGCGCGGTGAAGCTTGGATTTTTGCTACCCTACGGCGCTCTGCAATCATAACGCGCATGGGTCTACTGATAACAATTTATTACAGCAAATCTATGCTGAAGATACCCCGTAAGATCATATTAACATGAATAATCGCTCAACAAAATATAACTCCATCTGATTGAGCATTATTAGCGCATGCGCGTAACACAATAAACATAAGCCACAGTTGTGTACTGACTGTTATATGCCCAGCGGGCACCTTACATGCAATGTCTACTTCCTATTTCTTAAATGAGATCTACTGACAGATGTTTTTATATAAATATATTGCTAGAATACCCTGTTCATCTTCATTTTAAACTGCATATTTTTCGCCAAAATAATATTCCTGCTTCGGGAGATAGTGCGCCATGCCGCCGAGCATCGCATTTAGGCGTTTAGTACTAGAACTCGAATAACCTGCCATCATTAATATAGCTTTGCTAGAGATAGCGTGGAGACGAGCACCCAATGCGGACAGGCGAAAGCATAGCTGTTGAAGCGGTAGAGAAGGATGGGCTTGCACGCGCATGGGGACAGCGCCGGAGCAAAGGCGTGAGCGACGCGGGACGGGGTTGAATTGGAGTTTGCACCTACAGGCTAGCCGCTCTTGCCAATCATAAGCACAGCGTCTTACTGATAAACAATTTATTACATAAATCTAGGGGTGCAGATAACCCTGCTAAACCGATATTAAATGCATAATTCGTCACAAAATATAAACTCTCTGGTGACCAGACTAATGCGCATGCCGCTAACATCTTAACATAGCAATTGCGTGTACTGACTGTTATATCCAACGGCACCTTACATGCAATATCTTCTTCTCTATTTCTTTAAATGCAGGCTCTATTGCATAGAATGTTTTTATATTAAATCTATGCTAGCAATACCTCCTCTTCGTATTTAAATTGCATAATTTTGCAAAATATTTATTTTCTTCTTCGTAAGTATATTGCAACATGCGCGCAGCACGTTGTCGCGCGTGCATTACGCCGTACTGAAGAACACAGCATAAAATAGCTTACTGAGAGAGAGAGAGAGAGGAGAGAGAGAGAGAGAGAGAGAAGAGAGAGAGAGAGAGAGAGTAGAGAGAGAGAGCAGAGAGAGAGAGAATACCAGAGAGCAGAGCGCAGAGTGGGAGACTGAGGCAAGGCGGCAGAGAAGATAGCTGAGAGCGGTAGAAGAAGCAGGCTGGGCGAGGGACACGGGAGGCAAGGGATAGGACGGGAGGGGGTGAAGTTGAAGCTTTTTACCCTACAGGCTAGGGCGCTCTGCCAATCATAAACACAGGTCTACTGATAACTATTTATTACATAAATCTATGTGAGATACTCCCTAACCGTATTAAATTAATATTCCTCATAAAATAACACTCCTCTGGTGAGATATTTCTTATGCGCTAGCACACTAACGTAGCCCAGATTTTTTACTGACTGATATATGCAGCGGGCACTTTACATGTAAGGTCTTCTTTCAACTTGTTATGAGCGGTCTACTCATGGAGTGTTATCATATGAATCTATGCTATACTACCTCCTCTACATTTGAAATGCATAATTTTCCCAAAATACTATTGTTATGGAAGATATCGCGCATGCCAGAGCAGCGTTTCAGGCGTGCAGTACCGACTGAAGAATACTGTGAACGAAATGGCGTAGGGCCCGACGTGAATCATTTAATCAGGAGTGTGGTATGTCTACAGAAGATTCGTATCGCAAATTGCACCCTCGCTACTTCAATGTGGTGGCACAGCTTTGTGGGAGATCACTTGATATACCAATACATCGATAGGGCGCGGACACGTCGCGACATGTCGCCCAAAGGAAATGACTTAGGAAAAGAAATTAAAAAACAATCAATACAATGTTAAGTCTTATAGCATTTTAATAAAGTACTTCTTTTTACAAATGCAGGTATCTTCATATCTAGTTCAATGTTAAACCATGACTCATCACTATGAAGTATAAATTATCGATTCTTTATGGAACTTGGACAAAGAATACGGACAGCTACTGAAAATAACAGATAGTTACGGAACATTTCTGTAAAAGCCGTTTAACCATGTAAAAAAAGAACATTTGCAAGGTTTGCTGACAAGAGTTTTGTGAAATTGTTATATATATATAGGGCCTATAGAATAAAACTATTTGATATCATGGGTGTGTTATATATAGACTAATTATGAGCCTTGCACCTATGTATGTATACTTGTGATTTGTAAACAGTAGACGCTTTAGACAGCAAGACACTGCTAGAAAGTGCACTAAGCAGACCAATACATAGACCATGTGCCATGCTCATGCATAGTACGCCAATGTATATATGGTGCCGATTCTTTTGCTTGATACTCCCTTCAATAAAATCCACTAACCAGCACACTAAGAACAGTTTCACACCAGCTTGCTGATGATACCCGCAACTATGAAAATGGCAAAATTTCTCTTATCAGAAAACTGCACGAGTAATAAACTTTTATACTAAACTTTTAAACTATTAAGATACGTTCAAATGGCTTTTACAAAACGAACTGCAACTATAGTAAATTTTATTACGAATTTTCTGTAATTGTCTATTACTATGCACAAAAATGTTGTCACTAAAATTCCGTAATTCTGATTTCATAATGCATCATACTAAACAATATATTGACTCTTCTAAAAATGTTTATGACTGTAATTCTTTATAAACAATAACATTCTAGTGCTAGGGTGTGTACAGTACTAATATCATAAAATGTCGTTACATATATAGAAATATTTTGCATTGCATTGGATGTTTAGTAAAAACACCCGCTTACTTCACCTTACTGATCAATGATGTACACTTGGATTATAGCCCTGAAGGGGGCTGGATAAACAACTGCTAAATATAGAGTGAAAGCATTAAACGAATTTCTCTTGCACTCGTATCACACAAGATTCGACTATAATCTGTTTTATAATAAGCATCATAATACAGAACTACCCTTACACCATATTTTTAAATAGACAATTAATTATTTTACATCTCCTGCGAGAAAGGAACCTAATGGACTTATCTACCTGATCTATCTGAGAGATCTTGAATATTGTTGCTAAGTCAGTCAAGCTCAACAAGCTTGCGAGTTTTTCATGCGTGTATGTCAACATTGTGACAGTTCCCTACTAAGTAACGTTTTTAGAACGTCCTATCAGAACAATGACTGGCTGGGGATAACCGTCAATCACTCCAGGTGGGTTCGGACAATAAAGCGGGCAGCACACTTCACTATTTCCGTTGCTCGTACAGGCAATTTTCGTGGTCGCCACAAAAATGGCCAAGTGTGCGGGGGCCGGCAACGTTTTAACGGAAATTTCACGGTGTTTCCACGGAAATTTCACGGTGACCACGAGTTGCCGAGAATCAAACCGGTTTGATTTCTCACCACAAAAATTGCTCGTGGTGGCAACTTGTGGTGAAGTGTGCTGCGACGCGGCAACGGCCACAAAAATTGACGACCACAAAAATTGCCTGTACGAGCAACGAAAATGGTGTAGTGTGCTGCTAGCTTAAGATTAGACTGCCAGCAGGCTACACGGCCGTTCCTCTCTCTAGGTTTTGCTTCGTTTCCGCGGTGTATTGTCCGTAGAATCGCTCCAGTTTCTTGTTGAACTTGGCGTTTCTCTCGTTGATATAATCAATGTCAGCATCGTCGTCATACGCGCGCCTCCGGCTGTACTTGTTCCGCTTCTCAATCCTGCAGTGATACAAGTCAAATGATATACAAAAGTATCTCGGCGGCAGTGACATCAGTGAGGAGTAACAAGATCAAAATTTACGTTTGTACGGAGAAAGAAAAACCTTTACTATTATATATGCAATATTTTCTATAGTTATTCTGTTCCATTGATATTTTTAAAGCTACATAATATGAGATGGGAATACACGCCACGGCTAGGTCTCTAGTGGCACATGAAGCTATGTAATCGGTGCATATGTTATATGTACGTACGACCATACTCTTTTTTATTTCAGATAAATATGTCAATCAAAAATACAATACAATTATTTCAGTAAAATGAGCGTACTGTTTCTCGATATCCTCCGACATTCTCTCGATTGCCTGCTCCGTCGGTTTGTGGGTTCCGTGAATCAGCGACGCGCTCGGCGGCGCGTAGAAATCGTCGCCAAGCTGCTCCTTCTGGCGAGCAACCTCGGCATCGTCCACCTTAATGCCTCGCACGAGCCGGTCGTACTGCCGCTTTGTCGCGGTTTCGTAATCCGAGAAGCCCTGGTCAGGGTTCTTCTTGCGTTTGTCGTGCCTCTCCCAGCGCTCCGCTTCGTCCGCCTGCACGGTTAGAAGCTTCACGCGGTCGTAGTCCTCGCCCTGGGTCACGGCTTCCTGCGTGAACAAGTCGATCGTTGGAATTAGGATAGCGGCACGCGTTCACGTTAAGACGGGAAGAAAAGAAGGGGAAGACACACGGAGACCATCGAGAAGGAGATGCGCATGTGTGACCTGTCATGGAACACGCTGAGGCCAGTAGCAGCGGACCGATGACGTTGGAGATCTCTTGTCACTGCCTTATGTGCCATGTCGGCACCTACGAGGGATAACTAACAAGTGTTCAGGCATGTGCGTGTGTGACGACAGCCATCATTGTTACCCAGACTTCGAATTAAGCCGGGCTTTCGACGCCCGAGACGTGTAAAAATCTCGATGGGAACGTAAACATTGCAAGCCCGACAGGCTCCTGTTTTAAAACCGCATGAAATATAATGAAACTGGCCATCACCTAAAGGTTTTTAATTTAAAATCACGAAAGGTTAATCTGATGTACACTTCTTTACTCAATATTCCAAAAATATTCCTGCAAAATATATATGGGCAACTAGTATGTCATTCAGGCATGTACATTTTACAGAATACTTGCCCTAAGGGCAAGTGGCTCAAAATACAAAGTTTTTCATGAAGACCGGTTACTATCACCTAACGTGTTACGATTATGTTCAAACACTCCCTATAAAACTGCCTCATGTCTCATCACTTAATTACGTTTTTTTGTAGAATAACATGATCAACCACAGGAGATACTCAGATAGCTGGGACGGAATTGACAGGAACTAGAAATTACACGTTGATTACATGTATAAAACAATAAATATAAAATAAAGTTACATAAAATATATATAACACTATGTGACAAAATTCCCAAACTTTCCGACCAGGTGCTGAATTAGAGTTGATTGGACTGCTATATGTAAGAATCTGTGGTAGCCGGACTACATTAACATAGTGATGCATACAGGGCAAGCACAAATAACTTGGTAATAAATCAGTATTGTCAGTGGTGTGCATTACCCCTCTCTTCCTCTCCTCCTCTAGACTCCGTTCAGCCCACTTGCGCTTCGTTTCAAAGTTGGCTGGCAACTTCTTTTTTCTGTCTTCTTCCACAACTTCCTGGTGATTTATTTTCCTTGCTTCATTCTACAATGCAAACACTGGCTAATATGCTAACTCAGTAGAAGATTCAGATGATACGATAATAAATGTACTTATAACAATCTACCGATTACATCTAAAACCGATGATATAGACTCTATATCTATATTATAGATACACGCCAGTGATATAATACAAATATATTATATGTCATAGAAGATGTATGTTTACTTTGGACATGATGTTACTTCCATGTACTAAACCATTAGAAGTTGTTGACCTAGTCAATCCGTGCCCGTAACATACATGATACAGGAAACTTATGCTCTACAAACTCAGGATTAGCACTTCTGTTATCTATTCCGGTAAATTTAGAAATTAAACTTGAAAAATATAATGAACGTTCACGAGACTATTATTCAAGGCACTGCACATGCATATCACCAGGAGTGAATACAAACGAAGGAGTGAGCCAGGATAAAATATTGGAAATCCAATGTACACAAGCCCTAATCGACCTAGGATCTATTACGTTCAATTCAACAAACCTAAGCCCAGACTTTATTTCATATATTCCCATAGCACCGTACGTAATCGATTTTCTCATACACGTTTACAATCAGCAGATATCGACAAAAATGCACGACATGATTTAAGAAAATTTCCACCATAAAATCAGAACCTCCTGCTGATTTTTTCCCAAACAAAGACTGTTTGTCTGCTATTAAAGCACTGTCCGTCACTAGTGTCAGAAACTGAGTTCGTTAGGAGTATCGAGCAACGCAATTATGACTTCTGACTTGTGGTACCATACTCTAAGCCTGACCTGTAGAAACAGCTGTTTACGCTAGATGCACCTTCCACCACCACCACCTACAAGCTATCTGGGACTAGGGAGTGTGTATAATCAAAGAACCTACCAGTAAAAACCAATGTTACTATATGAAGTGTTGTTGTTTAGGAAGAATAAAATTAATGGAAATGAAATGGAAATGGGTTAGAAACCCTTTTATGCAAGAAGCTAGGTTAACATTTGAAGTAGATTCAGAGCTCAGGCATGTTGCATTATACATAATATATCGTAGGTAGACACTGTCTATTATTAGAAATTCAGTATTCACAGGCGCTGTCTACTAGACAGATCCTGTAAATACTTAATTTCTAATAATCCAGCCTTGCACACTCCTTTGTTTTTATTCACTACTGATGTCACAAAATAGGATACTGTAAAAACCAGACTCAATGCGTTAGTAGCTGCCACAAGTTCCAACGCACCCTTCTCAGGTGCAACTCTTTTAGTTTCTTCATTCGCTCGGCTCTTTTCTCTCCAGCAGAAATCTCTCCAGCGCTATCTTCCTGCTTGACCTCACTCATGCTTGCTGGAGTCCTGGCTAGTAGATGCCTTGAAGTTAATGTCTAACGGCTAGTCATATAAAAAACACAAATGTATGTACGTATTTTTTATATAAAAATCAGTCACTCAGAAGATTCCGAGAGCCCCAGATTCCCAGAACGAATTCCCAATGCCAAATGAATTAGTTCTCTCTGTAATCAAAGGCTACAATTACCAGTCATCTACTCGCTGCCCATGTACAGTCCACAGGCACTTGGAATATTTTAATAATACAAGTGCCGAGGAGCGACAGCGCTCATCTCACGTCTACTGTGGTGACTCTGTGGTGGAGTGGTGGGATTCTAGTAAACCTTGTTAGTCCCAAATGTGTTCACATATGCGCCGAAACAGTGGAAGGCACAGGGATGGTATCAGGAACCTTCTCGAAGAAATGTTTGTTGGGATCGTTATGAAAGTTTCTACAAGATGGCGAGTACGTTTAAGTGTCTTAAGATTAAAGATGGAAGCTCCCATCGTACGTAGTAGCAACACCTATTTGCAAGACAGAATAGGTAAGCACTCATCCATTTACCTACGCAAGCCTACAGGCTGAAATAGAGAGCTGCCACCTGTAACTAATTAATGCAGGCAAAAACTACACAGTACTATCACCACCACATGCACTGGCAGTGGCATAAGTTACATGTAACACACTGACAGTACACAATGCCATAAAATT